AAAAAAAAAAAAAAAAAAAAAAACAACCCAGAAATTGTTAATTTGCTGAAAATCTTATAACTCAGAGATTTCTTGCTAACCATACAGTAAGAAAATGCTTTATGACCAGGATGTCTGCCTCACTGAATATTTATGTAACTGTTCTTTTACCTAAGGGAAAATAAATAAAAATAAAAACTTACCTCACATTGCAAGATAAATTGCTTCCCTCCTTTTATTCTAAACAAGATGCACTTTTTGTCTTTAATCTGAGTTTCTTCCACAGAGAGAATCTGTTCCATGGTCAGTAAATTTTGCTAACCATAAAAATAAATATTAAAAATTACTTAAAATTATTTCAGGATCTGTTAAGTTATGTTAATAAGTATTGATAATCAGGAACTCAGAATAAGTTAAAAATGGCATTTTTGGAATAATAATTTATAAGTGAGCAGCAATGGCTATAAAGGCACATGTAGAAAAGTTCAAATTATAACATTTCAAAGAAAATTTCAAAGGAAGCAATGTTTCTATTGCACAACCAAGCAGCAAAGTGTTCTCTCCTCACAGAACTGAGCTGGGATGATCTCTGCACATCCTGGTGAGCAGTTTCCTGCGCTCTCCACCGGGTCAGGATTGGCAGTGTCACACTACATGAGATTCGCTCCAGCAGAAGGCTGAGGCTCTGCTATGACCCAGCAACTCCAACTGTCTTCTGGTTCTGGCTGGTAAGCTAAGACTATGTTGATAATATAAAAATGAAGCTCTAAATACAGGTGAAGGTGACATCCTTCAGAGATGGTCACACTAAGTCCACAGCACCATTGCATAAGGAGAATGCTACAGTATGATGAGTTCCTTACCATTTTGTTTTTTTGGATAAATACTCCAGGAATCCTAAGTGAAAAACAATACCGTCATGAACGTTCAAGTTTTCTTTTTTTTACTTTATTCTTAACAAATCAACCTATGTACCAAGTGCGAAATCTTTTAAAAACCAAGGTAAGTTTTTGAATCTGATGTTAAGTTTTTATTTTTAAAAGTTGTCAAATATCCTGCAAAGTGGGACAATTTCCCTCTCACTGCACAATAGTGACTTGCCAGAAGACCACACAGTGAGTGGACAATATGCCCAGGTCCACTCATTATCTGGATACAGACTGAGCTTTCAGGGGCTGCTCAATCCACACCAGCACCTGAGTTAGAGCTCAGCGCCCCAAAGAGTCTTATTAATTGTAACTCAGATCTAGACATAGTCATAGTTATTTTTGAAAAGCGACACTTATGGCACAGGTAACGTTGAGAGGATCTTGTTGGTTTTTAGAGGAACGTGGTCATGTGCAGTCACAACTGTTTGTACCAAATGGCAACTTCCCCAGCGAGGGTGAGAATACAAGCCCAAGTGTCACACGTAAGATCTGGGCCTCCCACTTTCCTCACTTTTGTTTGCTGATGTACTTGTATTTTATTGGTATACTTCAGATACGGTGATCACACGCATCACAGGGGGTTTGTACCTGGACATATTTCCTGCTTTTTCCCACTCTCCTCCCTTCCCTCCAACCTCTCCTCTCCTCCTTATCTATAACAGCTTTCTTTCTTTCTCTTTTCTCCTGTCCCTCCCTTCCTTTCCCGTCCCCCCTTGCTCCCCTTCTCATTTGAACATTTTCTTTCCAGTCTGTGGTATCTATTACATATTTTGGTCCTTGTTTATACTTTCAGTTTCTCACACCAAATATGGTATTGAAACACGTGTGTCAGATTTATTTCACTTAAGAGTGTGGTCCCAAGGTGCATCTATTATTTAACTAGATATATTTAGAGCTTATTCTTCTTTATGGCAGAGCAGAACTCTGTTGTGTAAAAAAACAAAAACAAAAACCCACATCTTCTTTATCCATTAACTGGCTGATTTTTCTCTACTTTTGACTTCAAGAGAAATGATGGGCAGTACTCACATCACTAATACATGATCCCTGTGCCTGACACTGGAGACCTCCTCCCCAGGAATAGACAACCCGCCCTCCACTAGGGTTGGCTCTGTGCAAGGGGACCAGCCCTGGCTCCACACACAGTAGCCACAAATGTGCCTGAGTTGCCAGCAGATTCAGCATGGATCAGAAAATTTTCCATCTTGTTCACCAGCATGAGCTGTAGAAGGAGCCCAAGAAGGCAGCTGTGTCCTTCTATGGGATACGCCCACAAGTTTCCTGCAAAGTGCCAAGGGAGGTATAGTTTGATGTCCTTACTTCCCTCTGTGCCAAGTACTGCAAGTGACATTTTATCTGATTGGACTTGAGAGACCAAGTGCACAGGCAGACCTCCTCGGCACCCACATCTGTCCAGCTATGGCCCCTGGGTGCTAGACTCTGCCTCTTCGAGCTTTGGTGTCCTCTTCACTAATTTAAAGTAGGACCTTCAAAGGTTGCTAAACAGATTGAAGGATGTGTGTGTGTGCGTGTGTGTGTGTGTGTGCGCGTGTGTGTGTGTGCGCGCGCGCGTGTGTGTGTGTGTGTGCACGTGTGTGTTATAGCATCTGGCCTCAGATAAACATGTAAACATGACAGGCGCCCTGGGGATTCCCGTCCCTCCCATTCCCCACATGAAGAAACAGGCTCAGGGAAGCAATGGAATGGGCCCCACGTCCCAGAGGCACTAAGCTGTGGATGTGAACCTGTCTTTCCCCACCGTCCAGCTGTCCTCTTCCCCTGTGACCTGCCACCTGCCCATCTCACCGGAAGCCTCAGGGATTTTGACTTGGTTCTCTCTAAATTAAGAAGGAACTATTTCGGAGACTACAGGGCCCCTCCTTGATGGACCTGGATGTTGAACAGTGAAGTCTGAATGCTGCAATCTTGTGATATGCACTGGGATATGTAGAGTTAGGGAGGTGCTATGGGAAAGATGTTGGCAACATGAGGTCACCAGTGACGCGGCACACGCGGGAGCAGCGCAGGGTGCACCCCGGACTCACCCGTGACTCGCCCTCTCCTCTCCACTCAAGCCTGTTTGGGAAGAGGTAGAAGTAGCGGCGCTGCCACTGCGTGAGGAAGGGGTTGCCCAGCTTCAGCATGTGCCCGTGCATGATGCAGTCCTTGCCCAGGGCGTAAGCTGAGGGCAGAAACACTGAGAGTTACCCAGGGCCCAGGCCAGGAGGCCTTGAGGTGGCTGTGTTCTCAGGAACACAGAATGACAAGCTTTTGGGGAAAGCCACACATCTGTGACTCTAACACATCACAGACACCATTATTTCCGTTTTTAAACACGTGGGAACGAGGCATCTGAGCTCAGAAGTTTCCGACTCGCTCTCTATTCTATGTCACACAGCTGCTTCTCAGGATCCCAGTGAATTCCCAGTGCTCATGTATCCCTTAGAGAGCTCCAAGTTAATTCCGAACCTTTTTTGTTTTTTTACTGTATGTAAATGATGAAGAACATGGAGCCATTCTGAGCTATCCTTAAAGTACCTTGGCCCTTCTGGGGCGCGGAGACTGTTCCTTTAGTCTATCTTTCATCCTATAAATACTATCACCACAGGGACTTGTCCCAGTCAGCGGAGGCACACAAGATCAAATGCGGTTCACTCCTAAGCTTAAGGTCAAGTTTGCTTCTCAGTCACACAGCTGTGTACAGAGACAAGTCACGTTCATGTTAACACCTGACTATCTTTTTGAGATACTATCTCTTATAACAAAAAGATAAAATTTTAGCCTTCACAGAAAGCTTGGTGATTATGCTAAAATCAGTCACTGAAAAATTTATTAATTCAACATGTTCATTCAGCACGTTCTGTATTCAGCAATGAACAAAAAGGAGAAATTCCTGCCCTTGTGGAGCTCACAGTCTACTGTGGGCTTCAGACAGTGAGCAAAGATGTAAACCCAGGCTGGGTCATCAGGCCACAGGAGAGGAGAGGACCCAGGGAGAGTCAATGGGACCAAGTGTGGCTTGCAGCACCGCCATCTTAGGCTGAAACGTGCTTACATTGCAGAAGTGTTTAAGATATAAGTATCTTTTTTCAGAGATCTAAGCCTAAACTGTAGATTTTTCTACAGAGCAATTTTTGAAATAACTAACCAAGTTATAGTTATGTGCAAAGTATTTATTAACATTCTTGATATATAAAAATCAGTTCACTCATCTGTTACATGTTTTGTTTAATCACAGTTCTAATTAAAAGAATACATTCAGCAGTCATTAGGATACATATTTTTCTTGGGTCTAATCTGTCACGATCCTAGGACCATCATGGCAAATGACTGCAGGTGCACATTCCCTGGAACATCAGTCATGGAAGGCACACACCAGTGTGACTCAAGGACAGCTCTCTGAAGAGCAGCTTGCACACCAAGGCTGTGTTCCTGGAGATCTGAGGTGGGAGGTGGTTAAAGGGGTACAGCACTCCCTTGTTATATTCTGGCAGCAACCATGTAAGGAGTGAGTCACCTAGAACTGAAGCCCTGGTCCTAGCAGAGGGTCAAAGAGGACAGGGACTCCTACGCCAAGAAGTGTCCACCAAAGTAACCTTTAAATAGAATGAAAGTGTCTTTGTGGTCTCACCCTTCCAGGGTCTTAGCTGAGAGGGAAAACGAAACGACATTTTCCCTTAATCATCATCTACCTTATAATAAATTTAAATGTCTGGCATAAGACACAAATCAATCTTAGACAAGTCAAGAGTGAGTAATAATATTTAATGACTCAAGCATGAGTAAAATATTTCATGTTATTTTCCATCGTGGAACTCTTCTGTGGCTATTCTTAAAACACACTGTGTAACGTAAGTATACTCACACATTTCCGTCCCCGGAAAAGTGGCAGGTCATGCCAAACTCCTCCCCAGGACCAGCTACAAATGCCAGGGGCCCAGTGCAAAGTGAACATGCAAACTTTTCTTCAAAAGTCTGCACCCAAGTTTGCACTCTGAGATACTCAAGATGGTGACAGCGGGGCATTCATCCTGTGTCCTACGTGACTGCATGGGAAACAGGCCAGTTAGGCTGGCCCTGTTCTTGAAATGGTCCAACTCTATCTTCAAGGGACAAGCTTCCTCCCTGGCCCCCAGTACTCATTGACAGGTGACCTGGATGAGACAAGGCTGGCTGTCTCAGTACACTTTTGGCTATGTGCTGACTGAAGAGCAAAATACTAACTCAACTCTTCCAATCCACATAAAACTAAAATATCAACCACCATTTTTTTCTCTCTGCTGATAAATACTTTATGACCCAAATGCTTTTTTGGCTTCATAAGAAACTGAAAATTCATTGCATTTAAAACATTTCAAGATGCATCAGCTATTTTACCTTCTTCGTGGCCAAGTTGCTTATTTTTTGCTCTTTTCCTGGCTTCGATTTTATCAGTGTCTGCATTTACTGCCTCATAAACTGTTTCTGTCACTTCCTGTTGCCAGCGCTCAGAGATGACCAAAGGGAAGTTCTTGTAGAGTTCTTGGTCACAGTCAAGCAGCTTATTAGAAAATAAAATATTTGTGATTTACCACATTTTCAAAGACAACGGGTCAACAGCACCACACCCATGGTGACTATCACAGCTGTACACAGGAAGAGAGCTAGAAGACAGCACATTATCACTGAGAGCTTTTAGCTGTGACAGATCTCCACTGACGATGACTCAAGCCACCAGGACTTAGGGTCACAACTGACCCGCTTGTCACTCTCTCTGAATCAGGTAGACTGGGCCTCACTATCTGTACCATCTTCAGGGCCTTTTTATTTTTGAGTACCAGGAATTGAATTCAGGACCTTGTGCTTGCAAGGCAGGTGGCAGAACTACTGAGCTAAATTCCCTCAAGACATTTTTGTCAATGAAAACTAACAAACACAGGGTTTTATTGAAGTATTAAAAGATTCTGATGACTAAGTAAAATTTTAATCATCATGAGGATATATTATGTATAAAAGTAGGAAAATAGATCCATATAGTTTTAGAAACAATTGTAGCACATTTTATAATATGTGTACAATTACGAGAGTTTTCCAACCTACCTTCAGGTTAGTCTATAAAGTTAGGAAAATACAAGATAAGCGAGGCTGAATTTAATATTCCAACTAATTAAACACTATAATCACGTGTATAAATAGATGGTGCAAGACACATGGAATGTAGGCAACACAGAAGAGTTGCTGTAATAAAAATTACATTTATTACATTTTTTCTTTCCAATGATTACTCAGATTCTTCACAGATTTTTCATTCTGCCCTTTTCGTGAGACTGCACTTTGAAAATAAGCTCCCCCACCAAAAAAGTTGTTTTTGGCATCTGAGCAGGTTTTCTGGGAAAAGACTGAGCTATTCCTAATCAGAAGCAGTCTCTCTAGAGTCTTGATCTCCTTCGTAAGCCATTTTTGTCTGGGAGAACAGACAGACACAGGTGCTGTAGCAAAGTATTCAGAAGGAAAAGACAGGACAGAGGTGGTACCTGCCCTGGTGCCTCAGTGAATTGGTGATGAGAAGCACCAGTGTCTTGCCATTCCCACAGGGCCATTGCCTCTCCCGTCTCACCTTTGTCTTAACAAGATTCTGTTTTTGTCAGTTGGATCGGCAGAGCCTTCCCACGTTCTGCTTTCTTCCAATCTCCAAAACACACCCAGAGCAGACATCCTCCACAGTTCCGAATGGGATGAGAGGTGTCTGCACACCAGTGTGTGAGTGGGAGCGAGCCAGGGAGGTGTAGACACCAAGCCTGCAAGTACCTGAGCTGGGCAGGGGCATAGGTGCGCATTTTGTAAAGGGTGTGGCCTGAGTCTACACGGACCCCCTTCATATTCTTTGGATCACTTAACGAAGATAAAGAATAGATCATTATGTAAGCTGTAACTCGGATGAGTGTGGTGTACATTCCCATAATCTGAATTTCTTAGGAGGCTGAGGCAGGATAATAAGTTTGACCCCAGCCTGGGTAAAATATCGAGATCCTATGTCAAAATATGAAAAGCACTGGGGATATAGCTCAGTGGTACAACACCCTTGTTCCATCCCAGTTCCACAACAAACAAACAAACAAACAAGCAAGCAAACACCAACACAGACCCCCTCACTGGACTGAGCCTCCATACTCACGGCTGTGTACCTGCCACTCACAACTTCCACCTCTGTCTATTCTCATCCCCAAAACCACAAGGAAAGAAGCCAGTTCATTAAGCACTGACTGTGCCAGGAGGCTTGGGTCATCTCATTTACGCTCACAGCGAGCTTCACAACAAAATTACCTACTTTACAGGTAGGAAACCAAGGCTCTCAAGAGGTTAAGGAATGGCCCAAATTCATTCTGCGGCCAAGTGGCAGCTGAGTCTGCTGCCTTCACAGTCTAGATTCTTGTTTATAAAAATTTTCAGTATGAGAGGCTCTCTTTGGTATGAGAGCACTTGGTGAGCTTTCACATTAAAGCAGTTTTATCTTTGTGCCCTTTGATGGGTGGTAGCGTGTCTGACGACAGAGCTCCACCGTGACAGCAGCAACCCCGTTACGTAGTTCTGTCCGTGGCTCACTCCCCACAGCCCACTGTCAGAGGCCTTGCACTCCTGGCGGTACTGACCACTGAGGCTGCAGATGATATCTAGTGATGCTTGGTCTTGGCAGCGTTCTTGCTGTGGTCCATGGCACAGCTACATCCCAGATCACAGGTGTCTCTGAGCCACTCAGCAGCCCCCCACGCCTGCCCTGTGACCTCAGCTCTCCCCAAGTTGCCTGCACCTAACCTCACTCCCTGGAAGCTGCTCCTGGAACATCCTGCGGGTCCTTCCGGCTCAGCTCTCCTCTTTTGATGCGACCACCAGCCCTACCTAGCTGCTGCTCCCTTCCCCAGCCACTCAAGCATTTGGCATCTGTGTGCCACTTGCCCCACTTTCCGATCTGCCTGTGTGGTTGTGGGTGTTTGTACTGACAGCTTCTGCTAGGCCCTTGCCTTTCACAGCCCTCCTTTTTTCCCACATCTGGCATGTAAGTGTTACCGCAGTGTCACAGCCTTCTGGGGAGTAGGCACTTGAAGGGACAAATGCAGGATGTGCAGAAGAGGGTAACAGCAGGCAGCTGAGAAGAGATGGGGATTCAAGACAGTGGGGACACCTGGAGAAGCTGTCAGAGCAGGGCGGGTAACAGTGTGACATGTAGTGATACACTCTAACCTGGCACTTTAAAGACAGTGATGTTTCTCTCATGACTTACTCTGTGTCTCTACTTGGAAAAAGAATGGTATGAACAGAAGTTTGAAAAATGCAAAGGGTGATGTAAAAAAACAGTGATTATTTTACCTTTGATTGACAAATGCAAAATGATTAATGATGACTGTACTTTTCATCCTGACACAAGGAGATCCAAGAACTCGGAGTCAAACAACTGGCTCTTTTTTGCACTCGGTGAAATATGCTTAATATCATAGTTTCTTTTCCTTGTTTTATATATGTTCAAGTTTTCTTTCAGTCACAAATCAACAAAGATTTGACCATTTTGTAATTCATTAAAAATAGAATTATTAGTACAATGAAAGCTTTCATGGTTTCTAGCTAATTTAGGTGTTTTTTCTTTTTTCCTCCAGTACCAAGGATTGAACCTAGGGCCTCCACACTTAACTACATCCCACTCCTTTCTATTTTTCACTCTGAGGCAAGATCTCACTGACTTGCCAAGACAGGACTCTAATTTAGGTCTTTAACTTACACAGTTTCAAATATGTCGATACTCATTTCATAACGCACCCAATACTAAGACAATCACTAAGTTTAACTGATTCTGAACAGAAACTTCAAAAAAAACAAACTGTCACCTATGTACCTTAATGCCTTTAGTATCCTCTTCATCGAATGAGCCAATATCAAAAGCATCCGCAGCATTGACTTCTCCCCGGGGAGGAATCAGCGGGGGTGGGTACTGGAAGAGCCGGAAGAGTGGGACAGTTATGAGAAGGCCTCTACAGCCCAGTCCCCTAACGCTCTGACACCAACCTGCCCCACCGTACAGGCTCCACTCAGTTCCTACAGCCACACTGCACAAGTCATACTTGAGCCTTGGCAATGAAGAGTCTGTCGATCCAGGCACAATTAAGAAAAAAGACTCATGCCCAAAGCTTAGATAATTTTTAAACATGATGAAGCCTCCAATCTGTACGTCCCCAGCTGAGTTTTGAGGAAATGCCTGCTCCTGGACAATGGGTGAAACACGTGTTGGACCTGCGGGGCCACACAGAGCACCACCCCACTGTTGTTGGGTGATGCTACCGATCAAGTACACGTGCACTGATTCCGGCCCAGCAGGACTAGGAGCTCACTCTCTCTTTGCTAGAGAACGTCCCTACTCCTTTCCAGGAAAAGGATGATAATTAACATTTTAAAAAATTGAATTGGAGGTGTTTATCAATGCGAATATAATAAAGCTTCAATAAGGAAAGGAGCTGGGCATGGCTTAGGGGGAGAACATGTGCTTAGCGTGCATGCAGCCCTGGGTTCCATTCCAGCACCAAATATAAAAATAAAAAATAGGGAAAAGAATTGTGTTGATATAAGAGCATGCTAATTCTTAAAATTATAGGGTGCTGGGCTAGCAAAAATAAATAAACTTAGAAGTATCTGGAATACTCTTATATATAGGCTTGTGGAAAAATCTGGTCACATATTGAGATAATTTAAGAAGATGAGCAAAAAGCTAAAGAAGTCTCAATTATGTGGATCTTTGATTAATTTACAGAAATGGCATTTCCTGAATTTTTGTAGTTGTCCCTCAGTATCTGTAGGGGATGGATGGGCTCCAGCACTTGCCGGACACCAGAATTCACACGTGTTAAGGTCTGTGATCTCTCATGGCATAGTATTTGCACATCATCTACACAATGATCTGATGTACCTGAATCAACTCTAGATCACTTATCTCGAACACACTGTAAATGCTGTGTGAGTAGCTCTTATGCTACATTGTGTAGGGAGGGATACTGACAAGAAAAGGTCTTCACACACTGGGTACAGACACCATTTTCTTCCTGTGCATGTTCCATCTGCGGTCGGCCGAAGCCGTGAATATGGGACCCGCAGATACACAGGGCTGACTGCACAAGGAAGGGAGGAGGAGAGCTGGACCCGGGAATGGGCGAGTGGTAACACTCAGGGGCTGAGGTCAGAACCAGGAAGTCGGCAGAGATGTAAGGACAGGGGGCGCAGTACCTTTTGTAGATAGACGTGCTGCCAGTCGACGCCCTTGAAGAAGATGTGCTCTTTCACTTCTTGTGCACTGATGAAGAAAGACAGCCCTCAAAGTGGTGAGTACGCATTTGGAAATACAACAGACTTTGCTAAAAGTATCTCCTGTTAAGAACGCATAGGAATTATCTCCAGCTCTTTAAGGAAGCAAACAAAGGCTTCTTTCAAAGCTGTACAGAAAGTGCTGCAATGTTTAGGAACACTGCAGGCTACACCCGCGACTACTGTCCCATGTCATCCTGTGTGGAATGCTTCTTTCAGTCTGTGACAAAGTAGGAGAGTTTTCACAGATCTACACACCTATGTCTGTCTCACACATCACATGGATACAGGTGTAATATGTAAAAGCCTTAAAAGTGGGCAGGAGAATGTACATATATATGATAATTATATATGATAATTCTGTGGTTGTTAGAATGTAAGTGAGAATTAAATTGGAGATCCACACACTAAAGAAATTTATGGCAAATGACTACAAGTTCAATAAAGAAAATGACAGTCATATGAAACACCAAGCATTTTAAGTGCAAACTAGAAATCTAATAAGAAGGTTGCACACCAAACTCCCTTATAGGCTAAAAACCCCCAAATTTCTTGAAGGTCATAATTAAGACCCAGTGTACACAGAACCAAGGTTGTAGGCTGAGGCAAAGCCCATGCCCTTGCACCCCTAGCAAGTTCCTCTCAGTCCAGTCTGTATCACACAGCCCAGTGCTGCTCCTCACCTCCATCCCCCACAGGCTCCCTGAGGCATCTGGCCCAGTCCAGGCTCTTCTGTGCCTATATTTGCCTTTATATGACACCCATATCTCCATGCCAAGCACCCTGGCCCCAGAAGGCCCATGTATCTAAGTGCCCTACACACCTTGCTATCGGGTCGAGTGGACAGAGGGGAGGGACTGATGGCAGAGTGGCAGAGCTGCTTCCCTGGGGACAAGGACAATGTACTGACCTCCTAATTCATCACAGTGCTTGTGTGTGTGGTGTGTGTGTGTGTGTGTGTGTCACAGAATTGGAACTCAGTGCATGGAGGCTTTGACCTTGGTGTACGTGTGAGCATGTACATAAACACACACCCACACATACCCATCCACCTCAAACCTCCTTCTCCAAACCAGTGTGCAAACACCCACAGCTGGGTGTTTAATAGGAGGGGGAAGAATTACTGAAAGCTTCTATTTTTAAAGAAATTAAATTTGCTAAACATTTTAAAAAAGAAATCAGTTAAGGATTGAACATTTAAAAAGTCAGAAAGTAAATCAAAGAACCAAAGCAATGATAAGAATAAAACACAAGATCAGGAGCATGGGAGACCGTCTGAGAAATCCCAATATCCATCTAACAGGAGTTCTAAGAGAAATGGAGGAGAGAAAATGTCAAATTAGTAAAATAACAGTATTCTCCACACTGAAGGATACGAGTTTTGGAATGAAAGTGCCTGATGTCATGAGGGTTGTGATAACTCAGCTTAGCAACCAGCACTGACCGTTCATTTAAGCGTAAAAAAGTGCCATCTTCAAAGTTCTAGGGTAATACTGATTTTGAATTCTCTATCAAGCCTAGAAAGCAGTCATGTTCGAAGACAGCAGGAAGGCATTTCAGATAACTAAAATTCAGGAATGAGAGCCTCTCACACATCTCTCTAGCAGTGACTTGGGAACGAACTCTGGCTAAAAGGGAGGGGACCCTGAAAAGCAGAAAGCATGGGGTCCAGTAAAAGGCAGTCACATGAGAAGCATGAAAAGGAACAATGCTGATTAGAGGGGAGAGAGGAGAAAGGAGGGAGGGAGAGGAGAGGAGGGAAACAGGAGAGGGGAGAGGAGACAGTTGGAGAGGGAAAGAGAGAGGAGAGAGCTCTCTGTTCTCAGCAGAGCTGGTAGACTGGGCCCAAGGCAAAAGAAAAACAAGGTAACAGTGAAAGTACACCACTGAAATAGCTAAATCTTGGAAACGGCCTATTTGCCCATCCATTGGAAACTGGATAAAGAAGATGTGGTTTTTCTATAAAATGGAATATTACTCAGCCATAAAGAACGAGAAAATAGATTCATTCATAGGAAAATGGATACATATTGAAGATATACTCCTAAGTGAAATAAATAAGTCACACATGTGTAAATACCAAATAGTTTCCCTGGTGTAAATAATCTGCAACAATGCATAAGATTCTAATAAGATTACTGACATTTAGAAATGGGAAGAAAGGAGCTAAAGGTGTAGGGAAGGTGGGATGGGTAGGGGAAGAGTAATAAGGGAAAAGAAAAAAATGTGAGAGAATGAAAAGATGAAAATAAAGTGTTTGTAGATG